TCAACCAATAATTGTTTATATTTTGTACAACCTTATGTTTATAGTAAATCCTCCATTTCTTGTACTCTCTAGCAATAGCATCGAGCTTCCTTCTCCAATATCGCCCTTGTAATACTACAGTCTTGTAAAAATTAGTAAGCAATGTTATCATACACTGAAAAACTACAAAGTTCTGTAAAAGCACAGCAAGAAAAAGGGCTTAAATATTAAGGATGATGGCCAGGAAAATGATTACAAAGATTACTGGTTCTTAATATTCCCCTTGGATTCATAGCAAGATCAGCAGCCATGGAACAATAAACAATAATGAGAAATATCTTGTCTAACTCCCCTTTCTATTATGATGTCCATAAAATGGTGACAGCATGCACTGTTGATGTTATATATCTAGGTAAAGACCTAGATAATATACCTAAATAATTTTACAGCTAACTTACCAAAGGTTTTTTTGGAGGTTCTCTTTCAGCAGATAATGGTGATACAAACTGGCAAAATAAAGGCTTCTTGTTTTTCTGGTCTGCAACAACAATGCCATCATTTGAGMTTTTAGAATATTTCAGTTTATTACATTGATCTTTCCATCAAAGCCAAACTGAAAGCAACTACTTCTATATTATGTAACATTTTAGTATTCACAAAAACATCTTTATCTAATCTAGAAAGATAACAATTGAACACTAGGTACTTGTACATGTATAAATAAACATACATTGAATATGCCAACATCTCCAWATTGCGTTGTTGAGTCGTGTTTTCTCTGAAAACTGCAACGTTTGACTACCAAAATTTTTCCATTTTGGAGAAACAAGTATCTGCCTGGAGGAAAAAAGGTAATAGCATGTTAATTCAATAAAATAGTAAGCTTCAAGCATTAAATGGGTTAAACTTGCACGATAAATTAATAAGCAGTGATTGACTATCCGAGTTGAAAATTTTCGTTCGTAATTTTGTACAACTGGTCATAGAAAAATGCAAGAGACCTCATACCTGCCATACTCCAGCTTCAAGCACTCAAACAGCCGAGATAGATTGTCTTCAATTTGTGCTGACAAATCTTTTTTCGTGACTGTGTTAAATTTTCTGTCACCAGAAGAAAAACCTGTCACCGGACTCGCGCCTTCCAACGGTAAACCTTGCGAACTAAACGGYCGCTTATCCATCTAAAGTTTCATTTGAATATCTGGTCTKTAAATGTTTTTCTTTTCATGTTTTTGTTGTTGTTGCCTGCTATGGGCTTTGAACAGGAGGTTTGCAGTCCACTTTGAACTAAAAACAAATGGCCACCATCTTGCGTGTCCTAAAAACACTCCTTCGTCCACGTGACGTCTACTCTCGTTTCAGGTYTGCGCGGTGATTGTTAATGCAGGGACCCCATTCGGCACGTTGTGGTTTCACTTTTTTGCCTACTGGTGCTTTCCTGGAAGCGATGATGTCACAAATGAATAGTAGAAAGATTGAATGAAATGATACGTTWGCAACCTAAATTTTGGCAAATTATCTAATAATTAATGTGAAATACGAGTAAAACATGCAGTAACAGCAAGATACGTTTACTAATTTTTTTTCTCCCTTTTCTCGGAATCATTTTTCACAAGTATCGGTGATGTCCAACTTATCATATCAATATTATCCCATTATCCTGCCAGCTGGRTTGCGCCGTTTGAAACATACTTGATATGACACTTACCTCGTCTGGTGTTTCCAGCGCTCATTACAAAACGCGAAATATTGTCAGTACAGRTATTACTATATTAGCAATGTTAGTAATCTCAAGATATATACAAGATCATCGTCTTGGCGATCATCGCAGACTCGTGGTTAGTCACTTTGAGCAAAGGTCAGTTAGAGAGAAACTTGAGGATGAKTATGTAGTTGTCCCCCGAGGGGGACTCCCCTACATTTCTTTACTCTTTACTTTATTACATGTAATTCTCTACTTCATTTCCTTACGTCTGTATACTCGGATAAACGTTGCCAGATTCCCATTTGATTATATAAAGCCGATTAATTAGATAAAATGACAAAAATGAAAATAAAATCGAATCATCGTTGTTTTTTATCAGTTATGTCTGAACCGTATGCAGTTATACTTACATGAAGTTTACGTTGCTACGTTGTTACTCGTATGTGGTCGTATGTCACTCGCATATAGTCGTATGTAACTCGTATGTGATCCTATGTTACTAATATAAAGTCTTACGATACTCGTATGTGATCGTAAGTTACTCGCATGTAGTCGTACGTTACTCGTATATGGTCGTACATTACTCGTACATAGTCGTATACTATATCAAATGTACTTTTAGATCCTCTGTTTTGGACATTGTCCCGGAAGTAGAAGTCACGCGCTGATGTCTGCCGCATGTCAAAGCATGCAATTTTTCCTTCTAAATCACTATAAAATTGCGCATAGTTCTTGTAGTTTAAGAGTGAAATGATATAGCAACTGTTCTCGTACCAAATTTTAAAATGGCGATCAGTAAATCAATTAAACAATCAGAGAATCAAGCTCGTTCCAATGAAGTCCAGAAAATTATATAGCGACGTTACGTTAGCAACGTTTTTGGAATCAAGTTCCCGGGCAGTCGAACTAATAAATAGCGCATGCTCTGACTGCGTACGTTTCTCGAAAAACCGCGAGAATGWTTGACATTTTTCAACCCCTTCTCYCGTCACAMWSTCTKTCAAGAGGCACAGTAGCAATCAAACTCAAAGACGTTCAACATAAAATCTTTAATTATTGCTTAGTTTTGCTTGAAAGAATCGACAATTATTCAAAAACAGTGTTGAAGAATTTTCCACCTCAAATCTGAAATTAATGTTTTGTTCAAACGTAGACACTGTACATGGTTATTCGTGAAAGCGTCCACAAACACCGTCCACACAAAACTACAATGTTCTGCGAGCGAATGCTTCCGTCAGGATAGATGCTTATGACGTAAGCCGGAAGTGAATTGAAAACAATAGAAAACAAAGGAATGGAAACGAGGCCTAWGGGCCCTGAAGKARTTTAGATGGCAAATATCTAGAGATTCCATTCACCTAGATTCAAGAAAAATTCCTTGTCTGTAGGAAAAGTACATTTTCTTGCTTCTTGTTAAATTCAAAAAGAATTTTTTTCAATTCCTAAGTTACTTCCGGTTTATGTCGTAAACATGTTGAATAGGGAGGAATTAACATTAAGTGAAAAATGACGTTGAAATAGGGAGGGTAGGAAACTGCAGAAAAAGTATTAACTCTAACTTACTTCTTGTACCTATTTTTTTTTAAAGTAACCATTAACAAACAGTCTCCGTGAGAACAATAAMATATGGACCCCTTGCATGTGACGTCAAATAACCTATATCTGGAGGATAAAAGAATTTTAAACTCTTGGACACAACGATTCCTTAATTTGTCCCCACCAGATGGAACTCCACTCACTCCACTGCAAGGGCTTTATAACTCAGTTTCAGATTTGAGATGATTTCTCCACCACTAKTACTAATTCAAGCGTGCAAGTAATCTAACCAAGGTCCATGTTGTAAGGACTCGTTATTTCGTTGATTCCAACTTCATCTTGGTTGGCGATTCTGCGCAGTGATTTCTTACACATGTCATTTAGGAGRTCCGAGTTGATGTTGTCTAGGAAACGGGTACAGGTCTAAAAAAACAAAAATATAACGTTTCAGGAAATAAGAAATTTCCCTAATTTGCTTCACCCGCCGAATAGGCTTTGTTACTAACACAGTACGGCCGCCATCTTSAATTCTATCGATTCACTAAGAAACTATGGGATACCCATGTATCACTAAAAAAGACAATTATAGACAAACACAAAACACAGGTACAATCGGACATTTTGAAACAACAATTCAAATTCTAAATAGCGATGTTATAAGCGAAAGTAATTTATATATTACATTCTATTGGTACTTTTACATATAAGATTGTGTGCATTTGCCCTTTCGACATCCMACAACTGATATCTATGAACTTTAACATGGTGATGCTGGTTGTATTAAGGCCTATTTTGATATCCCATAGTGCACCAGATCGAACACCGTATGACGTCAATAGGAGAGAGTACCATTGAWTATAACTAGGCTTTCTTTGAATTTACTTAAATTTTTTTTTTCTATTATGGATTTTTTCAGAAACTCTGTATGTTGATCTTGAGAAATCATCTTTCAGCAGCATGTTAGGGGAGTAATAATATAGCAAATGCGTCCGGATAATGCTGTTAGATGGTAGATGGTAAATACTCTTTATGTGCAGTTTGAAGAACTTTGTCAATCCTGATGATGCTGTAGAACAGCGAAAGCTCGAATGCAAAGAAAGAATATTTACCATCTAACAGAAGTATCCGGCCGCATTTGGTTATTATTACTTCTCTATGTTAATTTCTTTACCTGTAACGTGTCATCATTGTAGGCCAGTTTCAAAAGAGCAGCCAATGCAGACTCCGATGAAGCCTTCACAGAGCTGTTTTTGTCTTTAGCCGAACCAATCAATGAAGGAACCAGTGATTTAAGGGTTGTTGTGTCAAATGGYTGGTCGTTTGAATCRGAGGCAAACTTGACGGCGTAAGCAGCAAGGTTGCGCACTTCKGTTGAGCTGTTTTTGATGTTCTAWAGRGAGACACAAATGARCARTWACAATTGTCGTTTTAATAGGAATTCAYTTGACACCGYTACAAACGAAGGTCAGTGGTGGGAGGGTTGGGATGAAGAGAAATGTCBAGAAACATTCCTTTCACAAAGTGATGAACATTCCAGTTGTAGACCATCCTAGGGAACCCAAGGGTAATATTCTGYCATTCGTTCCTCACTCCAAGATAAAAAAAACCCTGGACCAGAAGTCTGTTAGACCTTGTTCTCGATTCGAAATTCAAAATGGCGGCCGGTAAATTTCTGATTGGTCAAGTGATTTACTCGAACATTCTGATTGGCCGCCATTTTGAATTTAATCAGAAAAATCTCTACAATGTTAACAGCAACGAAAACAATAAAGATAATAAAAATTGAAGACTTTGAAAAAAATATACCTGAGCTAGAGTTTGTATGACTGGCGGAGAAGGTGGTTTAGACTGTTGTTTGGACTGCGATAGGAGAAATCCAAGAGAGCGCACTCCATAACTTCCAATGGGGATCTATCACAYACAAAATGCCAAATTACTTAAAAATCGACTTCAATCAAAACCACAGTCAACTTACCCTGTCCGTTGAGGCATGGGCAATAGCGGCATCGGTGATTACGTCATATAACCCACAAGCCATGACCTTTTCAGGRGCATCGTGTAAAACCGCTGACAGGGCAATAGCGTGACCGTGGCGCAGTGTCCAATCGATTGTAGGATCATTGACTGGGAAATGAAAATAGAAACAAAGACTTAATGAAAGAATTGATATTTAAAAGCCTCGATGTCAAGTTATCTGGAAAACAATTCAAAAGATGCAAAGGTACGTCTAATAACTTTTCTTCATACCAACCCTGAGGATGGCCTGATAGGCCCGAAAGCTTATGTCTGCCATTAAATACATAAGTTRTTGTCTATAATTGGTCTCAGGAAAAAATGACAGGCAAAAGAGCATTTTTTTAGACTAAGCTAATACAACAATAAAAGTAGTTTTCGCTACCCGTAAGATGTTCGTTAATAAGATTCTCCAACTCTTCATCRGGCAGCACAAGAGCCAATGATCCGATGCAGATTCCCGTAGCTACACGAATGTTATTCTGAAAAAAAAATTATGCAATGAGCTTTACTAAAATGATTAGAATACAATAGGACACTGTGTCTTTGCAGTCTTAGACTATAATGAACGGAAAACGCCGAAGGAACGAACGGGAACAAGAGAGAAATACCAAACACGCAAATTAACTTCTAAAATAAATTTGCACAAAGGAGACACAAGTTATAAAATTCTTTGAAAAAAGGGATATCATAGTTTGAAGGACGTTTACCTCTCCGTGCCCCAGTAACGTCACCAGTGTCGTTGTTAAAGTTTTTCGTACTCCTTCGCCCATTTTCATTCCTGCGCCAGAAATCACTCCTCGTAAYGCTTGCAACAGCGTTTCCCTAGCAACATGCAAAATATTAGTACCACGAAGCGATTTAACATTTTATACTCTCATTTGTGTGAACCCAGCTTCAGCAACTTACTTAATGGCAAAATCTTCATTGTTTTTCACGCCATTTTGTAGTTCGGTGAAGAGAGGGTCAACACGTGTGTGTAGCGTGACAAGCTTATGTAACGCACTAGCTGCCTTGAGGCGGACAGTTTTATTGGGATCATTGAGAGCCTTGACGAACGTTGTCTGTAGCTGAGGTAAGAAYGGCTTCAACAGCGCACCAACCTGACAAACACGAAGCATATTTAGGAGGATAGACTAAAATCATAGAGCCTTTGAAGCGCTTGTCTCTCTGGTCCGATTCATACGTCGAGCCAGCGCAAATAGTTTGAATTTAGCACATGAACAGCTCGACGTATGAATCAATTGAGTTCGCCACGACTGCACCACAGCCGTGGCACGGCAGCGCCAGTCGTGCTGCACGGCAAAAGCTCGACGCTGATTCAAACGTTGAGATATTGTCGTTTCGAACTTGACACAAAAAAATATTTTTTTTCGAGATTAATAATGGATGTAAATTGCGTGTTATCGCATTTTTTCTTATGGCTTTTGACTGCAATTGGTACGACGTTTAAATTAACGCCGTACTGAATGTATTTAGGTCGGCACCAATTGACTATTTGATTCGGCGCGACGATAGCACGAGTATGAACGGATATGAACCCAGATATTTCAAAAGATAAGTCAACAGAGCATGCGCTGTGATGATGATCACGTGCTGTGATGTCATCATACAAAAATATTCGGATACTAGCGTTCACACGTATTCAACACATATCTGGGGACACTGCGGTGGTRCCMAGCGCATACGGGGGACACGATGYGAACGATAGCTKAAATACTKAAAATACTGAATGACATTTACRGATACAAARTCTCTGGACTCATACTGGACGGGACCTAAATATGCACACAAAAACCAAAGGAAAAAAAGAAAAAACAAAACAAAACAAAACCCCGCAACACAAAAGCTGCACTACAGTAGCTATCATTGCAACGACTGCAACTACAAACTTACCTTGCCTAGCAACAGCCCTAAAGTTTCCAGYACAGCCACCTTAACATTCCAACTAAAGCGATCACCAAGGATACGAATAAGAGGACCAGTGATGTGGACGACTGACGGCTTGAGAGCTGCAGCACTCGTCAAGTTTATCACCTCACCAAGGCCATTAGCAGCTTGTTCTTTGAGGTCAGGAGTTCCATTTAGGATTCCTTCCCTGAATACTGGCAGAATACACTTGATACCCTGAAAAAAAGAAACGAAAGATGAAAGGCAAACTCGTACGAATGGACTAGTAGAAGTTCCCTTTTGAATTGTCGGGCTTCCTGGGAGGGACAGGAAGCCCCGCCAAGTGATAAATGCATCTAATTTGTCTTCAATGGTATAAACCAGTCAACACGGAGCAGTGCTTATTTGAAAATATCACTGACAAAACCCGGTTCGCTCCATTTGAGTACTATCAATTTTGATTTGAACAGGCGGTGCAAACGATGCAATTCATTGTCTTGTGACGATTCCATTACCTTTTGAGGCAGGCAGAAACCTGGAAGTTCGCCATTTCGGACTTCTTCTTGTACGTATTTAATTGCTTGTCGTAATGGAGCGATGTATTGGACTTGATCACTGGCATCTAGTTTCTACAAACACATCGTAAATATACATGAACTTACTTTAGGAAAATAACAAAAACAACAACAAGCACTAGGCCCTCTGCAAGAACGACAAAAGACAGAAAATTTAC